ATTTCCATTATTAGCCACCGCCATAATGGAACGATCTAGTTTAAAACCTTAGAATTTTCGTCATTTCTATTTTTGTTAAAATTACATGGTTGAATGCATTTAAAAGCATTATTTTTAAGTTTTCTATGATACCAACAAATATTTTGGTTAATATCGTTTCTAGATCTAGAAAACTTTCTTGATTTAGAACGATTTCTATCTCTAGATCTTGATCTAATTTGTAATTCATTAATATCTTCTGTAATTTTGTTAAGATTTTGGTAAATGGCTGTAGTTAACTCAGTTAAATCTATAATGCACTGTTCCAGAATATTATTATTATTTTCTACGCTAGCGACATTAAAAGATTTAGACGATTGAGGTTTATTTATCAAATCAAATAATTTATCTGCAAGAGAAATAATTTCTTCAGTACTTTGATTACTACAAGATGTTATAGGAATTTGTATTTGTTGCGGTAACTTCCTACTCCATAATTTAAATAAAAGTTCTTTACTAACAATTGATTTAGAACCTGCTAAGGATTTCATATGTCTATAAAGTTCTGATGGTGAACGACCACCTAGTTCAGTATTTGAAAATACTTGTTCTAATCTCTTCTCTTCGCTAAGAGAAAATCTTTCACATAAAACTTTCTTAATTGTTTCATATTTGTTAATCAAAGGAGGCGGATTAATAACATCAATAAGTTTAGAAATTTATTCTTTTTGAAGAAAATCTAGAATATTTTGAAATTTGATATTATGATCACGTATATTGTTAATTTCGAATTGTCCTTCCACAAGGAGGAACCATGCTTCAGGACAATCTTCCCAAAAATGAGGCAATTTACAGATCAATTATATAAATAGGCAATCATGTTTCCTTTACACCCCTTTTACGGCTAAACTGTACTTCTAAGGTATAAACAATTATAAATCATTAGAAAGGTATTTTGATGCTGATGTGCAGGCAATTTTTAAAATTTCAAATTAGTTTAAAATAGAGCGAAAAAATCAATTCAAAAGTCACACCAATACCAATGCCATACATGTATACATGTACATGGTTGGGGCGGGAATGCCTCCTAAATGTATGCTTTAATATTGATAGTGAATTAAAGAAACGTGCTAAGCAGCAGTTTAGGAATAAGATGTATGTATGTATGTACATGAATAGATTAGCCTCAAACAAGGATGAAGATAATTTTGAGTATGGAGAAGAAGAAAGGGATAAATACAGAAATTAAAATAAAAGTAAAGAAACCTAAATATAAAGACAAAGAGGAAGGAAAATTTAAATACCTAACCTAATAACAATGGTGGGGGTGAATATGTAAATGAAGAAAAGAATGGACATATTTAGATCAGGATAAAGGAAAGGATAAAGATGAAGAAGAAGATGAAGACCAAGACGAGGAAGAAGATGAAGATGAATATGAAGATAAGGATAAAGATAACTTATCTTAACTTAACCCCTTAACTTAACTTAACTCACCTCAACTCATCTCACCTCCGCTTAAAAACTTATTCCACCTGAGTTCGCTACACATTAATTCACCACGCCTAAATCCACCACTACTTCACTCCCCACACCTAAATTCACCACACCTTAATTCACCACACCTAAATCCACCACACTTTAATTCACCACACCTTAACTCACCACACCGCAACTTTCTCACCACATCTTAACTCACCACACCTTAATCTACCACACCTTGATTCACCACACCTCAACTTTCTCACCACACCTTAACTCACCACACCTTAATTCACCACACCTTAATTCACCACACCTCAACTCACCACAACTAAATTCACCACACCTGAATTCATAACACCGTAAGTCCCACACCCAATTCCACCACACTGCAACTCACCACACCCAATTTCAACACATAACATGATATCACTAAAGAAACAATGTAAAGAAAAGAGGAAGGAAAATTTAACTACCTAACCTAATAACAATGGTGGGGGTAAATACGTAAATGGAGAAAAGAATGAAGATATAGATCAGGATAAAGGAAATATGAAGATGAGGATGAAGATGAAGATGAAGATGAAGATGAAGAT